TCTATTTATGAACAAAATGGAACCAGGAGTCCTTTTTCACTACAAAAATGTTTTAATGTATGTGTATTTTCCCTTTTTCGCTTTAGTATCAGTAGCTCCAAATTACTTCCATGTCCAGACATCAAGTGCTCTGCTATAGCACTGTCCAGGTAGAAGCACCAGGACACACCACAGGGGATGCAGGCTTATAAGAAATCCCAGTTTCTCGATCCTGGTTGCCAGAAGGCTGCAGCTCAGTCTGTGGCTTCCCAGGTCTTCCCAGGGCCTGATCCTCCATTGCCACTCTGTTCCTCTGCTCTGTACAGGTTTTTGTGTCTCTTTCCCTCTTCCTTGCAATCAAGTCTGTGAGCCCTGTGTGGGCAGAGACCTAGCTCCCATGTTTGCAGGTCGAGGTCCTGGTGCCGCTCTGGCCCAGGGCAGCCCGGAGAAGATGTTTGTTCAGTTTTGTCACTGACTGGAAACCAGCGGAGCCACGCCTCAGAGGAGAAGCCGGCAGAGTTCTGGTATCTTGCTGCAGCTGGTGTTGTGAATCAGGCCGACGAGCAGCGCATCCTCTTACCCGGCTATTTCACGACACCAGGGTTGCATCATACCCATTCTCTCCAGGCGAGCCTCGTGGGACCAGGTCAGATGATGCAAGGACTCGGGCAGAGGGTGGGGTGCCATGAGTCTGTGCCAAACCACAATCTCTGTACCTTACTGCATTCCTAGAATCACCTGGGGAGCTTTAAGAAAATACCAATGTCCACCCCTTACCCCTCCTCTGCCCAGACTCAGGATGTCTATGGTAGGTGCCAAACTGGCATTTGTTAGAGGCCATGTGCAGCTAGGAGGAGCACAGGACTGAGCTGGGTTATTGTCTGGTTTTGCCTGTCTGGCCCATAGCATCAACCCAACTGGACCCCTTCTGTCAGGACACCCCACTCAGAAAACATACCCTCATTCCCCATGGAGTCCTCCCTGGTCCCCACTTCTCAGGAACCCTGGCCTCACTCAGATCCACAGGCTAGTTCTGTCCTCTGCCTTCAGATACACCCCAGCGTCTAGCTCCTCATAGTGACTCCCGGCCTGGCCATGCCCACACCCTGCAGTAGCCCTGACTGGTCTCTCTCAGTGCATGCCAAAGTGACCTGTGAGAATGATATCTCTGACTGCCCCAGAACATTCTCATTCTCACCCTGGCCTATGAGCCAAATGCTCCTCTTCTGTGTCTCAGACTGTATCTCCTTAGTCTCTTCACTCCATCCAGTATCATGGGCCTCCTTGTCCTTCTTGAAGTTACAGTACCCTCCCCTGACAACCTCTTAAAACCTGTTCACACGAGAGGGGCTCCCACCTGTGGAAATCAGCTCAAATTTTCCATCCTTGAAGAGACCTAATACCAGTCCTAAGAAAAACTGTCGTTTCCTTAATAGTACTCACCACCAAAGGTATTGTAACAATTACTGATTCTTTATTTGTCTCTCCTACTAGAATGTAAGCCCCGGTGGGCAGGGTCTTTGTCATGTTCCCTGCGGTTCCTCCCTTTCCTAGTACAGGACATGGTATGCAGGGGACACTCAATAAATGTGGTGGAATAAAGAAACAACAGCCTGATGTCCACCATTTCTTCTCTCCTTCCCCACTGCTCACAGCACCCCAGCCCAGTCCTGCCCACCTTGTCCACTGCATGGCCAAGCCCATCCTCTCTTCTCCTCTTCTCCTGGAAAGCCCTCTCCTCTGCTGGATGGCTGCTTCGTCTTCTTGCTGGTTTGTCTGCCAACCTAGGCACCATGGTGCAGGGCCTCGTACATTAGAGAAGCAAAATGATTGCTGAGGTGCCTCTGAGGTGGCCACAGACAGGAGACCAGAGACCCGGAGGTCGTCAAGGGCCCTCCTCCTACTCCTCATCTCCTCCTGTTCCTCTTCTCGCTTTCCTTCCCCTCCTCTCCTGCCCCAGCATCTGGGGTGTTTGCTTCTAGGTCCCTGACTGCTGAGTCTTTCAGGTCCTTGCTGCTTCATTCTCCTTCTTCCTTCTAGGAGCTGGGGAAGGTGAGAGCCCTCTGTCTGTCAAGGGCTGACCCTGATGGGCATCATTTTTAGGTGTCATTTCTGCTCTGCTGCTGCAGAAGCTAAGGCTTATCCAGGTCAGGTGACTTGCCCAAAGTCACATAGAAAATGACAGAACTGAGACTCCCCAAGGCCAAATCCCAGGATTTGCTCAGGATACTTGGAACCTCTCACCTGGGGGCCATCTGGCCTGGGGGTTCTCCCGGAAGCTAAATTCTGGAAGCCTTGAACCATTTGACCCTGCCTGATCCAGAAGAATGCTCCTGATCCAGAAGAATGTTTCAATCAAAGTTCCATTCAAATACAAGATTCCCCTTTTGTGTGTGGGGTGCAGGGTCTGTGCTTTAGGGTGAGGTGTCAGAGACTCCCTTTAGTTTATTCTACTGGGAAGCCCTTCAAGGGGTCCTGCTCAGACTCCATTCTTGCTCCCCTCCAAGGTTAAGGTAGGCCAGGGAGGGGAAGTGGCCTGCCCAAGGTCACCCAGCAAATCTTTGCCATAGCCCCAGTGCTCCTGGAAATAGCCTTGGCCCCTTTTTCTCCTCAGATCTTTATCAGGAATTTTCCACAGCTGCCCAGGGCAGTGTAAACATGGTGTGAGAGACTGTGGGGCAGCTGTGAGTTCTGCCAGTCAATTAGCAGGTTAAGAGTAAGAGAGTGATAAGATCTTCCCCAGGGCCCCATGAGAGGGAATGAATGAGTAACTCTGCACCCCTGAACCCCTCCCCGCTCTGTCCCCCATCCAGGGTGCAGCCTGCAGAGACTGGAACATTGACCCAGCTGGGGTCCTTGGCCTGGACTTCTGGTCCGTGAGGCCTCAGCCCACTGGCAGCAGCCATGGGGGCCAGGGACACATCCCTGCAGGCGGAGGGAATGGAAGGGTAGAAAGGGAACAGGGAGCTTGGATGTTATTAAGAGGAGCCCTGAGAAGATTCTTTTTTAAAAAATTAGTGTGTGGCAAATTGGAAAGGGCACATAGTGATCATAACCTTTTGAGTTTGTCATTGAAGTCTAGGTTCTCTCAGGTCCAATCAGAAGAACTCCACGCTGGAGGAACCCAGAAAATCCCTGGTGCATCCCTGCTTGGGCCAATTTGGTCGTCCAAGGGTGTTCACACGGCCACTCTCCATCTTTCTTGGTTCTGGGTCCCCTCGCTATAGCCAGTCTTGAGCAACTCCTTGGAGCTGCTCCAGGTGCTTGGAACTGTGGCTGAACAAAACAGGGCCAGATCCTGCCTTTGTGGGCTTCCAGTCTACAAGCCAGATGACATTTAGGGCCCTCTCCCCAGAAAAATGCCCTGAGGCTTGCCAACTTGGTTTTGAGGCTGGTGCTGGGGCACATCTATAAGTCCAGCTCCCCAGGAGGATGAGGCAAGAGGACCATCAATTCAAGGCCAGTCTGGGCAACTTAGCAAGAGCCTGTCTCAAAATTACGAAACAAACAAACAAAAACTAGAAAGGAATGGAGATGTAGCTCTGTAGTAGAGTATCCTTGGGTTCAATCCCAAGTACAGTACTGCAAAACAAAACACCCTCATCTTGCAGGGTGACTCCCCCACAGTTTGCTACACTATACACCTGAGCATTTCCACTTGGTGCCTCCTGCCTGACCAGCCTAGCAGGGCGCATCTGTCCTGGGAGACCCTGGCCCAGAGCATGAGGTGCGCCATGAGCCAGCTGAACCTCTCTGGGTTCCCATAGTGAGTGCTGACTCACTGTGGGAAGTCAGGGAGCCCCGAGGACTTTGAGCCCTCAGAGGAGACTCTCTGGGGAACTAATGTGAGCTCTAAGAGGCAGGGCTATGAAGAAAAGAGAGTGAGTCCCCATTTCTCTGGGGGATGGCTGGAGCCTGAGTGTAAGCTGAGAAATCCCAGGTGCAAAAGCTGGCAGAAGTAGTGGCCTTCTGGTCTCCACGTGGAGACCCCAAGAGGAACCACTCATCCTCCGAGACTCAGGCCAGGGTCCCCTCCGAAGGAAGTCTTCCCTGCCTGTCCCCAGCTTGACACTCTATAGCCTGACACGCTATAGATCTCTCTCCCATTGCTGCACCCACCGCACAGCAGGGGTGCAATGTTTCCAGGTCCAGCCCCACCCCCAACTCTGCAGTGCTGAGTGTAGACAGTGTCCCACCTTTCCCTGGCTCCCGCTTCCACCCAAGCATGGTGGGTGCTCTGTAAAGGCTGCTGGAGAGGTGAAATGAGTCAGTGATTTTTTATGAGCTTCTAGGCGCGCCCCCCCCCCCTGCCTTGGGCTCAGTGCTTGTGGACAGAAGGGAAGGAAGTAGCCCTGGGCAGGGTGGGGAGTAGGCTGCAGTGCAAACTCCAAGCTTCTGGTGGGCCTTTAGAGTCAGGGAGCCAGGCCTTCCTACCCTCTTAGGGGAAAAGTGGTCCCAGCTGGGGCCCTAGACGCAGGGCAGACATTGAGAGGTCTCACAGCAGCTTGGAGAGTACGTCCTTGAAGCACCCACTCACTAACAACTAATCTCTCAAAACCCTGATCCATCTCTTCCATCCACCTACAACACATTTCAACACAGTTCTGTCCCTCTTGTGGCCTCGAGCTCAGGTAGCCTTAATGACAGAATCTACTCCCATTGCCACTGTGCATTCAAAGGTGGCCTCCTGGTGCTGCCAAAACCAGATCCTGACCTAGCCCAGCACTGGGCCAGGAGACAAGGTCTCCTTCTCAGGTCCCTCAGAGTCCTGGCTGGGGATCTCCTCAGGCCCGTTTCAGAGGAGCCACCCCAGGACTCAGTGGGTGACTGGCTCCAGGCAAGTCCAGCCCTGCCAGTCCCAGGCAGGGCTCCATGTCACCAGTCCAACTGTGGGCCGGACAGGAAGGGCACGTGTTCCAACCACACCTGTCCAGGGTCGCTGCTTACCAGCTGTGGGCGGTTTGGGCCACCTTCCCACCCTTTCCCCTGCTATAGACTCAGCCTATAAAGCCACCCTGCATGTCCTTGCTGACCCTGGACCCCTACCTGAGCCACAATGGCAGAGCTGCCCACAACAGAGATGCCCAGGGACACTGCTCTGTGTAGCGGGCGCTTCACCATCAGCACCCTCCTGGGGGGAGATGAGTCCCTACCAGCCGCCACCTATGACACCAGCCACCCCAACCACCTGACCTACGGCAGCACCCTCTACATGCGCACCTTTGGGTACAACACCATCGACGTGGTGCCTGCCTACGATCACTATGCCAACAGCGCCCTGCCCGGCGAGCCTCGAAAGGTCCGGCCTACGCTGGCCGACTTGCATTCCTTCCTCAAGGCAAGTGCCCCTCAGAAGACAGCCACTTCCTGGCTGTGTGACCTAATGTCTCTGAGCCTGGGGGCTGTCACCTGGGCTGTGGGATGGATGAAGGGAGGCCCACATGGACTGGCAGGAGAGGGAGCTGTGAAACTCTGGGCATGTGTCATCTTTCTTGTCCAGGCACTGGCAACTCAAAGGTAGAGTGAGCTGCCTAGAGAGGAAGTGAGCTGCCCACCAGCGGCAGCATGCAAACAGGCTGTACACCGCTGACACAGATGAGGAGAAGAGAGCAGGAAAGATGCTCTTGGGGAGTGTGACAGGTGTAGGGCAGGGAGTCCGATTCTCACAGCCCCTATCTAGCCTCAGTTTTCCATCTGACGTCAACCATTCTTGATTCTAGGCCTGAGACTTTACACTTACAGTCCTCCCCACCCAGAGCAAACCTCCGTCCTGACCGCTAACGGCTGTACACAGAGCTGTGTTCCATCCCGGGCTGCTGAGCTGAGGGGCCAGGAAGAAAGTCCTAGACGCTGTGTGTCACTTGGGCATGCACAGGAGGACCTGCTGCACTGGAGTGGAGCCTGGGTCCCAGTCCCAGCTCTGCCAGGGGCTCCTGTGTGGTCTGGAACGTGCTGTGGCCCCTCTCTTGAGCTGTGTGTCTACCTAGCTGGGTCCCAGGCTTCCATTCTGCAGCAGGAAGCTGGTGTCCAGAGCACCCAGCCTCCTATGTCACCTGTCCCCACTGCTATGTAGTCTTTCTTAAAGTCCTGAGAGCAGCTCCACACCCCTGAGGCTGAGTCTGAGGTGGCCACGCATGGCACCATGCTGCAGGAGGGTGACTGGCTGCAGAGACGCAACCCGCAGCACCCATGCCTGCCTGACTTGTGGCCTCTGGTCCCCCAGCAGGAGGGGAGCCACCTGCACACCCTGACCTTTGACAGCCAGCCCAGTCATGAGCTGACCAACGGGCTGGTGGAGGACGAGGCGGGCACCCCCAGTGAGAAGAGCCCCGGGGAGCCTGTGCGCTTCGGCTGGATCAAGGGGGTGATGGTAAGTAGGCTGAGGGCCTGTGAGAACCTCAAGCTGCACCTAGGCTCAGCTGTGACTCAGGCTCCAGTGTTCAGGGTAGACCCAAGGCCCAGCCTGGGCCTCAGTTTCCCCCACCTGCATGTAGCTTCAAATTTTCTCTGATTTGGGTTCCTAACACCCCTGTGAGTGCCCTAGGCTGAGACCCAGGCCTGAGGCAGATCTCTGCTGAGTCACACTAGTACGGCAGTGGGGAAATCACAAATCACTTAACTCACTGCCTCGGTTTTTTGTTGTGTGAAATGAGTATTAAATGAATTCATAAATGTAAAGCCTTTGGTCAGTACCTGCCAGGGAGTAATATGAAAAGGCTGTTAGCCAAGCGTGATTGATACGTGCCTGTGATACCAGGTGCTTGGGAGGCTGATACAGGAATGTAAAGGTGAGGTCAACCTGGGCATTTGGTGAAACTGTCCCAAAATTAAAAGTAAATGTAAAGGATATGGAGGGGGCTTAGTGATAGAGTCTTTACCTAGCTTGTGTAAGTACCACTAGAAAAAGAAAAAAAAGGAAAGAAAAAGAAAAAAGATAATGTTTTCCAGAGCCACCAGAGGGCAGCACTCATATACAGTATATTGACAACCCGTGTGTGTCTGTGTGTGTCTGTATCTGTGTCTGTGTGTGGTGTTGTGTTGTATTTTTTTATTCTGCCACACGTGAAGGGAAAGGTTTACTTTAGTTTACAGTATGAATAAGCTCCCAGACAATAAAAAACAAAAAAAAGTCATATGAATTCTGCTCTGGAAGGCATGGGGTGCCTAGTTCTGACCTTAATGCTGCCAGCTGCCAATTGGCTATGATTATTTCTCCACCTAAACCTTGAGCCCACTCTGATGCCAAAGAGTCACATTCAGGGTCTATGTTCCCCTCCTGGAGGAGCTGGCCCACACCTGGAGTGTTCCGTTTAGTGTCTCAGAGCAGGTAGAGGACCTTGGAAATCTCTGCCCCTTGGTGCGGCCAAAGACCATAACAGGCCTTTCCATCTGGGAACGTTAATCTCAGCCTTGGCCTCTTACTTTTCTTTCAGTTGGAAAATGAAGTCACCACAACCTGAGCTCTAGTTCTGCTTGTGAGTGGGGAGTTGGCTCAGCAGATATGTCACACACAAGCCAACAGCTGGCCACTGGGGCCAAGGCTAGGTCTGGCAGGCACAGGATCCTGGTTTGGAATAGGAGGAGTGTTGGTCTTGCTTGCAACCCATCCTTAGACTTCAGTGGGAGCGCAGGAGGGTGGGAAGGAGGAGGGTGCCCTTTTGCTCCAGTGAACCAGAGGGCCTGGCCCGTCAGGGTGGGTAAAGCACAGAGAACTCAGGGTCTCCCACGCCCAGGAGGTTGATGCCATGCCATGACCAGCCGCAGGGATTTTTGTGCTTGGCCATGGCGTATGTGATCTACCCAGAGAGCTTCTGATCTGTCTTCCTAGATCCGCTGCATGCTCAACATCTGGGGTGTGATCCTCTACCTACGGCTCCCCTGGATTACGGCGCAGGCGGGCATTGGTGAGTGGTGACCTGGGAAAGGAAGGAGCTTGTGCGTGAGTCCTTGTCCCCTATCACTAAGACCCCTTGGAGCAGGCTTGACCTTGGGCTGCAGAGACCACAGTGGGTCAGGCTCTTCCTCCCCGGCATAGCCCGGAGTCCCTGCATTGACAATGGTGAGGGTGATGTGACAGAGACCCACTGGACAGGGAGTCAGCTATCCCAAGGGCTCTCCTGGGCTGCTTGCCCTCAGCAAGTCACTTAACCTCTCTGAGCCAATTCCTGCTGCAGAGCAAGTGGTGAGGAGCTTGCATTCTGGAAGGTCAGGGTTCAGATGAGAGCTTCGCCTCAGGCTGTGGGAACTTGGGCTACTTTGTTATTCTCTGTGAGCCTGGTCTTCCTCATCAGTCAAATACGGCTGATGACAGCATCTGCCTCACAAAGCCACTACAGTGTTTATACGATGCAGGAAAAACAGCATAGAGTTTGGTACCCAATGCTGCTTGTAATGGTAACCATCATTTTTTTTTTAATTTTAATTTTATTTTTTTGGTACCAGGAATCAAACTCATGACCTCATGCTTGCCAGGCAGGTGTTTATGGTGCAGAGCTAAATCCCTGGTCCCTGGCACTTTATTTTTATCCTTTGTTTTTAAAGGGGGGCACCTCCCCTCCCATACCTAGCAATCCTTTTCATGTTGGCTCATGAGCTCCTGGACTATTTAAAATATGCCAGATTAACAGTGATCCATTTCTTAGATGATAGAACTGAGACTCAGAGACAGGCAGTGAATTAGTAGGTTCCTCCCATGGCTCTTCACCTGGGGAACACCCTGACTGGGTCTTGGAGCACACATGTCTACCCCACACAGTCCTGACCTGGATCATCATCCTGCTGTCTGTTATGGTGACCTCCATCACTGGCCTCTCCATCTCGGCCATCTCCACCAACGGCAAGGTCAAGTCAGGTGCGCCCTAGGGACCCCACTTCATGGACTCCCTACCCATGGGACACCCTGGTTGCCCCTGTAGTTGCAGGTGAGGGCTCTGGGCAGGCTCCCTGCATTACAGGATGAACTTGGTTCCTCCTGCCCTGTGTCCCCTGGTCACCTTACCGAGCCCAACCTGGCCAGCTGATTCCTCTGGTTTCGTGGCTGCCGGCTCTGGCTCTGGTAGGTGGCACCTATTTCCTCATCTCCCGGAGTCTGGGCCCAGAACTGGGGGGCTCCATCGGCCTCATCTTTGCCTTTGCCAACGCCGTGGGTGTGGCCATGCACACCGTGGGCTTCGCAGAGACTGTGCGGGACCTGATGCAGGTGAGGAGGGGCTGGGCCCTGGGTTGCCCTACCATCCTTCTCCCCACTGGGCCGGCCTTCCTCCCTGCTGCACGATTCCATCCATCAGGGACTACAGTCCCAGTCTGGTCACTGCAGGTAACAATGGCAATCTCGTAAAATCAAAACTATCCCTGTAAGACACGTTGCCGCAGGACGATGCTGTCCAGGTCTATGCAGAGCTGTCCTGGGGATCTGTGGGCTGCAAACATCCTTGGTTTTGGATTTGAGTCAGAGGGACCTCAGTGAAGTAGTTTGGAGGCATGGGTTGTTCAGAGTGGCACATAACCAGTCTGTCCCCTCCCAGGAGTATGGCACACCCATCGTGGACCCCATCAATGACATCCGCATCATTGGTGTAGTCACTGTCACCGTGCTGCTGGCCATTTCATTGGCTGGCATGGAGTGGGAGTCCAAGGTGAGGAGCAGACCATAGCCCTGGGCCTGAGCTCTGGTTCTATCTCTTCTGATGTGTGTTAGCTAAGCTTCAAGTTCTGCTGCTGTGACAGAGACCCCACCTAATGGTACCTTCCAATAGAAAGACTTTGTTTCTGTTTTATGTAACAGTGCAGGGAGGCATGGTCTTCCACAGGGGTTGGACCCCAGACTCCTTCAATCCTATAGCTCTTCCATCCATTGGGTATGGGCCCTTGTTCACCTGGTCCAGGTAGCCACTATCATGATGTCCCCAGTCCAGGCAGTCCAGGCAGAGAGGATTCCCATTTCCTTTCTCTTGTCTTACAAGCTGTCTCAGTCCTGCTCAAGTGCCATTGGCTAAATCTTGGTCTTGCAGCCCCTTATAGCTGCAAGAGAGGCTGGATAGTATTGATTTCATAGAACTGTGTACCCAGCCAAAAGTCAGAGGTCAAGGGCAGAAGTATGGGGTTACAATTGGCATAGTTGACCAAAGAGAACCTCCAAACTACATAGCACCTGGCTCCTGCACCTTCTGGCTCCCTCATCCTCTGACCACTCTCCGGCAATCCTGTCCTTTTGTTCATCCTTGGAATTACTAAGCTTAGTTGCCACATCATTCTATGCTTCCCTTATCTTCCTCCTTTATGTATATGCAAAAGAGTCTATTTATTGAAGATACTGTCCCAGGCCACCTTGCTAAAGCAGCTCCAAACCCATCTCAAGCACCCCTAAGTTTGTCTTACATACGCATTAGCCAGGATGAGAGACCTTGATCATCCTGCTCACTGTTATGTTCCCAGCTCCTTGAACAGAGCTCACTGCACAATGGGTGTGAATGAAAGACTGCATGAAAAATGGCGTGAGGGACCTGGGCAAGCTCAGCTCTGCTGGGCCTCCCTGAAGGTGTCCTTTACCCCAGGCCCAGGTGTTGTTCTTCCTTGTCATCATGGTCTCTTTTGCCAACTACTTGGTGGGGACACTGATCCCTCCATCTGAGGACAAGGCCTCCAAGGGCTTCTTCAGCTACCGGGGTATGTATGCATAGGGTGGACCCAGGCCACAGCTGGGGGATCAGGGATAGTTTGTCTAAAACAGTGGCTCATTGTCTGAGCAGCAGAAGGACAAGATCCCCCATTCCCATGGCTGGGAGCTGCATGGCCAGACCAAGACAGAGGGACCAAGTCCTCCAGGTGGCCCTGACTCAGGCCTTGGTTTTCCAGGGGACATTTTTGTTCAGAACTTGGTGCCTGACTGGAGGGGTATTGATGGCAGCTTCTTCGGAATGTTCTCCATCTTCTTTCCCTCTGCCACGGGCATCCTGGCAGGAGCCAACATCTCCGGAGATCTCAAGGTGAGCGGAACACTCACCCCTCCTGTATCCTGGCACTGTAGGGGGCTATGAGCACAGTCTTGCTCCCTGTCACACCAAGATCTGCTGCAGGACACTGAGTGTGGTACTGAGGTCAGAGTTAACACCTAGTCCAGTTCAGTCCAGTCCTTTGCAGCTCTATTCAGATCAGCTTGTGAGGCTGTTGACTGACTGATACCAGCTGTGCTCAGGGCTTTGAAGGACATCCCAAAATGGGATTGCCAGAACTCTCAGCCTGGGAACATCTTTGCTGAGGTCACCTCCATCTCCCGCTCTCTATCGTCTTGATGCAGGCAGCTCTGACTTTGCGGCAGTACACCTGTCCAGTCCCATCTCTGAGCATTGTCCCTGTGTCCATGACCCTTGCTCATCCCCAAGATATGTGTCTCATGTCGCTCTCATTCATTTGACACTGCTTTGCCTCCCAAAGCTCTGTCCCTCTTCCAAATTCCTCCTCCAACAGCTCTGGCTCCAGTCATGGAGCCGTGTACCCATGTCAACCCCTCTCTAGGTCCCTGTTCCCAGCTCACAGTCTGACACAAGATAGGTGCTCAGGATGTTGTTGATGAGAGTGGTAAAATAAAATGTCAGAGCAGAAGTACAAAGTACCCTAAAGGGATGGAAAAGGACAAGCTGATGTTGGCAGGGGCTGGGGCAAAACTCTTGCGTACAGGTGGGGTGGGGCTGGGCTATGAAAGATGAGAAGCTGGTGAGCCTTTGCCAGCAGGAGGCTCCAAGGAGACTGGGAATCACAGCTAACCCTTGCTCTCACTCTCCTGGCCCACCCAAGAGGTGCTCCTTGAAGCTTTTTCTAAATGGATTAAATTGTAAATTGGAAATAATCCCGGAACCAACCCGGCTGTATCAGGATCTGTCCCAGGACACAAACTGCAGGGTGTGGAAACTGGAGCTTTTGTCTGGCTCCTCTCCTTTCTCTGGGAATTGATCTGGATGCTTCCCCAAGCATCTTTGGTTACCAGCTTCAGGCCACGCACCTCTTTTGAGCTCATGAGATCGGTGACCTTGGCCTTCAAGGGGCTGTTGGGCCTTGGCTGTGCTCACCCTGAAAGACAGTGCACTCTGCCGCAGAGCACCTCCCGTGTGTCTGACTTTGGGTGACTTCCTGACGGCCTCTCTGGGGCTCAGCTTCTCCAGCTGGATCATGGAACTCACACAGCCCCAGCCTAGCAGGAAGGGGGTGAGAATTTCAAAAACTATTTTGTGTCGAGTGCTTAGAGCAGTGCTGGGCATAGAGGGTGTGCTGAGAGCTCTTTATCATCATTTATGATACAATCAAGCAAACTTCTTAGTCACTTGCCTCATCACTGAGACACAATACCTGACACCCAAAACTTAGTGGAGGAGAGGCTTATTTTGGCTCGTGGTTTTTAGAGGTTTCAGTCCAGGGCTGGCTGACTCCAAAGAAGCAGCAGCACGGCAGGGCACCGGCATGGCCAAGGAAAAGCTGGGAAGCAGAGGGTGAAGGGAGGAGCCAGGAAGAGAGATAAACCCTTCCAAATCATGTCCTCAGGGTCCTGCCTCTTCTTTCCAGATCCCAACTCTCCACAGCAAAGTCAGCTATAAGTTCCCAGAACCTCGTCACCTTCCAAAAGCCTACCCATGAGAGTGTGAGGCTCTTGGGGGACATCTAGCTATAAACCATAACACCAGCCAAGCCCAGAAAGGGTCAGGGCTGACTCAGGGCCACACAGATGGTGGAGGAACTAGAATGCAAATCTGTAGAACAAAAGCTTCCCTGTAAACAACTATTGCATCTTTGATGAATATTTCATGTGTTGTCCCAGGGTATGTCCACATGTGACATGCCCACACAGGCTGCGTGTTCTTTCCTGCAAATTACCATAAACTGCGTGGCTTAAGACAATTTATTCTCTTGTAGTTTAGGAGTCTAGAAATTCAAAATCAAAGTATTGACAGGGCAGTACCCCCTCTGAAGTCGCTAGGGATGAATGCTTCCTGGCCTCATTTTAGCTCTAGTGGATCCTGACAATGGCGTCCCTTGCTTTTGGCTCATCTAACCTCTGCATTGCTGTTACCACATGGCCTTTTTTCCTCCATGTTTTGGTGTCCTTTCTGCTTTTAGAATGATGCCGGTGATTGCATTTGAGGCCCACTTTAAGGCTGTCATGTCCTAATCTCCAAATATAATCCTTAACTCCTCACATCCTGAGGTTTGAGGTAGACATAAACTTGATGTTATTCAACCCACTAGAAGTGGGGTGGCAGCCTGGACCTGGTATATTGGCCAGAGACTTATCACCCGGTCAAATAATCCCTAGGGAGTTGGGCAGGGCCCAACTAGTAGGACCAGGTCTGTGGGGTCCCCAAAAGAGACTCTAAAAGACCTTGGGTTCCCCTCAAACCCTAGCCTCCCATTACTCTGAATCTCTGCTCCCATTTCTCTGGTATACCCTCCTTCGTATTCTAACTTGTCTCTAATCAGGTTCTACTAGTTGAAGGAGAAAGCAGGGAAGAGGAGACCATAGCAAATGGGCTGCTCATGGCACCCAAGGTCCTCCTTTAGGCTGGAGCTTCTGCCTAGAGGGTGGAGCAGGTGTTGAACTTATTGTAAAATTCTCTGTTTTGCTGCTCCTGGCTTGGTTCATAGAGCCCGAGACTGCGGACCATGGTGGCATCAGGGTGAGAGCCACCAGACACTCTGTCACGTGGGTCCTTTTCACTGTGCCCTGCCCTCAGTGGAGGCATTCAAGCTACATCTCAGGGAATTATATTTGAGAAAGTGCCTAAAGAATGGACTGTGTGATAGGTGCATGTGAAGATTTGCTACTGCTTTTAGGAAAATACAAGCAGAGAGTTCTTTCCTGGAGCAACAGGAGGAAGCCTGGGGTTTCTACTCCTATCTGTGCAACCAGGCACAGTTGGCCCATAATGACAAGTGTACCATGAGCCTGATGGTCAACAGGTCTGGGGGTCAGGGACTCGAGTGCATCTGTGCACTTCACCAGTGGCCTGGTGGCATTGCTATCACCACTCACAGAAGAGGGACAGAGGCTGGGAGCTCAGCTCACTGCCCATCTGGTGGCCTGGATTTGAACCAGGCAGGCTAAGGTCAGAGCCCTGCCCTTTGGCCCCTGTTCTCTCTCTCCCATAGCAAGCTTTAGCTAGGTGATCTCCACAGCTCAGGTGAGGAGCTGTTGGTTTTGTCTCCCACTTCGGGCTCCGTGGGTCTCAGATATAGTCTCAGGCTGGTGATCTTGGTGATGTCCAGCCGCTTCTAAGGGTCCTTGATGAACAGACCCGGGATGGGGCCATGGCCAGGGATGGGAGGCCTAACGGCTGCCTGACACCACGGTCCCTCTTATAGGACCCTGCTGTGGCTATCCCCAAGGGAACTCTGATGGCCATTTTTTGGACCACTGTCTCCTACCTGGCCATCTCAGCCACCATCGGTGAGTAGCTGACCTAGCTAACTGCGGCAGAGCACCCCAGTGTCTGTGTAGCCCAGGCCCAAGAGGGGGTCCACAGGTGGGACAGCTAGACCAGGAGAATGTGGCAACCTAAGGAAGTGGAACCTTGAACTCTGTCCCTGAGGTTCCTGTCACCTTGGCATCTTCATAGTGAGGGAGGCCAGTCCAGGCTCAGTGTCCCTTCAGACACGGAGGTTCTAGCTTCATGGGCATGAAGCTACTGCAAGATAAATCATGCTTTGCCCCTGGGATGAGGCTGATGGAGATGCCAGCACCTCTTTGCCATCATCCAGCCCTGAACTTGGCTTGCCATATTTAACACAGGGGGAAATGGGGCATGGAGAAGTAAAGTCACATCATCCTTGAGCAGTGGAGCCAACCTTTGAACCAAGGTCTGGACAATTAACACTTCTCTTGATCTGAGATCCTGCCAGGTGCATTTGCTCCTAGTGGCCACCTTTGAGGCAAGCTGTTCCCAGATGCCAAGGGACTTGGCACCACTCACAGTTACTCAGGCCTCGAGAGCCAAGTCTCAGCTTTATGGAAGACACTGGGCAGGTTACTAAGTTCTGTGTGCCTCTGCAGAACAGGAAGAATGACAAAAATAACAGCACTCCCTACTTCCCGGGGCCGCTGTAAAGTATCCACCCTGGTGCCTGGCACACCACAAGCACACCTGATATTAGCCAGCACATCAGGGCTACTGTTCTGTGACACAGAAAGGGCCCAGCTGTCTGCAGTGTGTCTCTATGTGCAGAAGCAGCCAGCATTCGGGGAGTAGGAAAGGAGGGCAGAGCAAGGGGGTGGGAGCAAGAGGGCTGAGGGAGACCCCACATCTCTTTCCTCCTCTCAGGTTCCTGTGTGGTTCGTGACGCCTCTGGGGACCTGAATGACACGCTGACCTCTGGCTGGGGTGCTTGTGAAGGGCTGGCCTGCAACTATGGCTGGAACTTCACCGAGTGCTCCCAGCAGCACAGCTGCCGCTATGGCCTCATCAATTACTACCAGGTAGCAGGGCTTCCGCCCTGCGGTGCCCCTCAGTGCTGGGACGGGCTGGGGTGACATAACTGGGGGAGCTGGAGGCTCCTAGCCGGAGGGTGGGTGCAGAAGCTCCTGTGCCTGGTTTCCATCTGGGAGACCCAGGCGAGGGTGTGGGCTCTGATGGAGGTGCGAGGACCAGCTCCTACCTGCAGTAGGTACTGAGGCGCCGGGCAGGGGCTCCCAGCTCAGCCCCCACTATCCCCGCAGACCATGAGCATGGTGTCAGCCTTTGCACCGCTGATCACAGCCGGCATCTTCGGGGCCACCCTGTCCTCTGCCCTTGCCTGCCTGGTCTCAGCTGCCAAAGTTTTCCAGGTGAGACTCCAGAAAAGGGCCAAGGTAAAGGGGGTCTAGGCTGGGAGGCCCAGGTGGCAAATCCCCTGGTGACAGCTGTGAAGAAGGATCGTGTGACGCGAGTGTCTAGATGGAAGGGAGAAATCCTTCTTGTGAGGTGACTAGAAGAGCATTTTCCATCCCCAAACCCTGACCCCAGCCATGTCTACAATTCCACTTCCAAGACCCTTCCCCCATCACGAGACCAACCCCTCTCATTTTGGCCCTGTCCTGTCTCCATGGCGGGGAAGGTGGTGGCATCTCATCCTACTTAAAAGAACCAGAATCTGAGGTCCCTGTTGGAGAAGTGCCCTGCTGCAGTCACAGTCAGGGCCAAGCAGATCCTGGAGTCTGGACGGCCCCAGGAAGGGAGGTGGCAGGTCTCAGCCAGCGCGTGAGCGAGGGGTCTGGTGCCCGCAGTGCCTGTGCCAGGACCAGCTGTACCCACTGATCGGCTTCTTCGGCAAAGGCTACGGCAAGAACAAGGAGCCTGTGCGTGGCTACCTGCTGGCCTACGCCATCGCCGTGGCCTTCATCATCATTGGTAAGAGGCTGCCCCACTCACCAGGCCCAGCTCTTCACCTGCCTCCTCAGCCAGCCAGGTCGGGGCTTAGTGGATGCTCAGTGAGAGATGGTTTTTAAAAAATATAACCCAGGGCCTTGCACATGCTAAGCATGTCCCCAGTAAAGAGTCTGAGCAAAGCCCTCCCTGGAAGGAGACTTTGGGAGGCCACATGAGGTTTCTGCCTTCCTACCTCCAGAGAGGGGAGCCCCCACACCATGCAAGCAGGGGATGGTTCTGTGGGAGAGACCCTACCTGCTTCCCTGATTCTGCATTCTAGTGTCCTGGCAACTGAGACCCCCCATTATGGTTTTAAATGAACCCTCAGGTCACCTTTGGATCATGGGTCAAACTGCCTGGTTCCTTCTCAAGGGCCGAAAGAGATGGCTGGCTCACCTTTTGTAGATGCATGAACTAGACAGAGCCAGGGTCTCACCCTGAGTGAGGCCTAAGGAGAAAAATCCAGCTGATCTCTTAGGCAGATTGGCTTCCTCCCATGGCTTTTCATGCCAGCTGTGTGACCTTAGAAAAGCAACTTTACTTCTCTGAGCCTCAGTTTCCTTCTCTGCAGAATGGGAGCAATACTGCATAATGGGTGTGTCACAGATGGACAGGAAGAGGCCACATGTGCACACACCCTAGACTTCCTCACTAACTTAGCCAAGGAAGCAGAACTCACTGGGAAAGAAGTGACCACACCAAGCAAGAGCAGTGGCCAGGCTGTGACATGATGTTCCCCATCCCTACTATGGGTTAGAGTGGAGACAGGAGCAGGCGAGTCTCTCCGCATCCCACAGAGCACAGGCTCCCTGCTACTCAGGCTGGCATCACTGGTCACCAATCTGTAACACCTAACAGCCCAAAGGGGGGCTTCCCAGACCCTGGGTTCTGGCTCCCTAACCAAATGCAGAGGTGGTAGGGCCACACCCAACAGGTGGAAAAGCCCAGGCAGGCCTGGCATTCCGAGGACCAACCCTTCTTCCTGCAGACCAGGCTGACCCCAGCTCAGCGCTGCGTCCTCTGCTCTGAGTGCTCTGAGAGCAGACCGAGAACCATGATCTCAGAGTCTGTGGGGTCAGCTTCTTAGGGGATTGCAGTCATGTGCTTGTGTGGCTCTGGGATCCCAGGAGAGACCACTGGATAAGAATTCACATTCCTAGTTTATCCAGGGGTCTGGGGGTCAATGAAATGGGTAAGAGAAGGAGCCAGTTATGGAATGGGTCCCCACTGGAGGGCGGACTGCACTACATATTCCACATTGGAATTTGTGGTCCAAAAGTATCACAGCCACTGCCCACAGTCCTCCTTGGCCTGATGGGGTCCACCCCCACACAGCCTCCATTTTCTTGAAAGATGGTGCAACAGGATGGGCCCATTTCACAGATCAGACACTTGAGACTTACTGAGCCCTGGTGGCCCTCTTGGGATCCCCACCAAGTGAGGGACAGTGCCAGGCAGTTCCTTGGTGGGGCTGCCTGATGGGCTGTCCTTTTATCCCTGGGTCGCTGAAGCGGAGCTCAACACCATCGCCCCAATCATCTCCAATTTCTTCCTGTGCTCCTACGCCCTCATCAACTTCAGCTGCTTCCATGCCTCCATCACCAACTCACCCGGTGAGTCAGCTCTTTGCCTTGCCACGGGGAGGCACCTGAGGGGCAGAGGCATGGGGTAGGTTGGAAGTAGAAGGCGGCAGCCCAAGGTGTCTCTCAAATGGAAACCATGTGAAGGGGACCTGTGTGCAGCAGCGAGGGCAGCGGCCCTGGCACACCCTTCCTGGATTCATGCAAAGTCTCTAGTCCTAGAGCTTCTTTTAGTCCCTTCCTCTGCTAGGAGTCAGGGAGTCTGATTCACCAGAGTGGGGAAGGAGAGTTTCCCGGTCACATATCTGGTGGGGCAGGTTGCACTCTGTACCACTCACATTACGATGCACAGATTTCATAGGTTTGTATGTTAATGTTGAAACATTTCTGGCAGATGGCAGGAGAGAGACCTGAGGAAGGCTTGTTCTAATCAGCTCCAATCAATGAGCTGGTAATCAGGCCCCGTTTCATGCAGCCACAGTGTGCACGTTGCCCTCAGAATTGTGCCATGGGGCCAATGTCACAACTGGTGTTGGGCCACGTAGAGTCATGCCCTCGCCCTCCTCATCCCTGGCTTCATGGAGCCATGAGCTGGCATTATTGCTGGCCAATATTTGGCCAGAGCTGGAGGCTTCCCCTGGCTGTGACCTGTCACCATAGAATAATGCAGCAAGGCAGGTGTGGGCCTCCCCAGAGCCTCCAGCACAGTGCAGGAGGAAGGTGAGCGAGACCCCATTGGGGCCCAGGCCGGAGGGGTAACCTAGGAGCCACAGCTCTGGCTCTGAGGAGGCTCCTAAGTGCAGGGTGCATCCACTGATGGGGCCACCGCCCAGGGTGGAGACCCTCGTTCCAGTACTACAGCAAGTGGTCGGCGCTGTTTGGGGCAGTTGTCTCCGTGATCATCATGTTCCTGCTCACCTGGTGGGCAGCCCTCATCGCCATTGGAGTCATCGTCTTCCTCCTGCTCTACGTGATCTACAAGAAGCCAGGTGGGTGGGCTTAGCCTCCAGCCCTGGTGGCTGAGTGGACAGGTCCTGCCTTGCTCTGCACTGCCCAGGGCCCCACACAGCCCTCCCGCTGCATCCCTCCTTGGGTCCCAAGTGAAGCCCAGACCTCTGCTGTTAGGCCTCCCAGAGCCCAGGAATTCCCAGTTTCAAGGGCCAAGTCCTTGCAAAGACAGCTTCCCACTTCCTGAAAGGCTGCACAGGAAGATGAAGCTTGGACATGGCAGGAGTGTCTGCCAGTCACCAAGGAGGAGCCCTGGGGTGACAACAATCCACACGTGGGGAACACAACTCCAAGACAATTTAGAATCTCACATATGAACTGGATTTCCAGGTCATTATGAAGGTCTGTTTATCAAGGCAAGAGAACATTTTATAGAATTCAATACCCTGATGTGTAACTTTTGATTATAAAGCCATGGTGTACTCGGGCCCCAGCCCCACACACACAGGGGCAGACCTGGGCTGTCCACCTGCCTGGCAGTCTGCTGCCCGGGTGCACGATTCCCACAGGGGCATGATTAGTTTCCTCTGGTGACTCTGTCTTGCTCCCCACCGCCCCTTTCCTTAGAGGTGAACTGGGGCTCCTCCGTGCAGGCTGGCTCCTATAACCTGGCCCTGAGCTACTCTGTGGGCCTCAATGAGGTGGAAGACCACATCAAGAACTACCGGTAAGCAGAGTTCCAGGCCACCTGGGAGCCTGGCATCTGCCATGGCCCCGCTCAGAGGCCTCCTGACCCAGGTTGGTCCAGCGCTGCTGAGAGGGGTCAGCAGTAGAGGACCTTACTCCCACTGCTGTAGGAGGCTGGGGTGGACCTTGCCCAATGGGATTCAGCAAGGAAGGGAACCTCTGTGTGCCTCAGTTTCCACCTAGAAGCTGCTCTGTGGTAAGGGTGATGTGCTGATTGTCATCATGGTAATCTTGGGAGGGCAGCAGGAAAAACCTCCCCTGGGTCCTCTTCAAACTGGTGGTAAGGAAACTCGTTCCAGCAATCTCCTTCCCACCAGAGGGTGATGACAATAATCAGAGAGACTTATATATGCCACACTTAGTGTGAACCCAGCACTTGACAAAGAGCCTCATGACAAACCCATGAGTTCCATAAAATCCCTAACTCTACTCACAGAGGAGAACACTGAGGTACAGGGAGGTTAACTACTGGCCACTGGAGCACAGATGCATTGGGTGTGGTTCTGACCAACACTGACAGTGGCCCTTGACCGCTCCACATAGAGGCTCTGTCACCTGCCCAGGTGACACAGACAGGAGTTCTCACTAGCAGTTTCATTCTATGCCATGCTGGGTTGGGCAGGGCAAAGGAGAAGAGTTGGGTGGGGTGCTTGGTGGCCTGAGCAGGAAGGACAAGGGAGTATAGTGGCCATCAAAGGAGCCCTTGATGGCCACTTTCAGAAAGATGAGTCCCAAAGTATAAGTGTGCAGGGTTCTGCCCGAGGCCATCCTGTGCTTCAGGGTGACTTAGGAGACCTGTTGGAGCATCTGCCTTTAACATTCTTGGCCCACCAACTCTCCCTCGTTGGCTCACACCCTCCTCCCTTCCCTTCCCTTCCCCAGTCCCCAGTGCCTGGTGCTCACAGGTCCCCCCAACTTCCGCCCTGCCCTCGTGGACTTCGTGGGCACCTTCACCCAGAACCTGAGCCTCATGATCTGTGGCCATGTGCTCATTGTGAGTGTCCCCAGGAGGTGGGGCAGGGCCATCCATACTGCTGGAGGAGCAGCCAGATGTGATGTTCACCAGGGTGTGGGAGCAGAGCAGGATGGGTCCCACAGATCCTGGCCGGGTCCCCTGTGAGGCCAGGGCTCTCCCTTCCGGTCTTCTCTCGCTGGCTTCTCTTCCCTCCATCCTATCTCTCCTTTGTTCCTTTCATCTCCGTCCCTCCTTCCTCCCCTCCCTGCTTCTTTACCTCCATGAGCTCTGTAGAGGGAAACGGGCACCCTGGGACAGGAGAGGATTTAAATCTCAGGCCAGAGAGAAAAGGCAGCCCCTGATGTCACCTGCTTCTACCACCCAAGGGACCCTGCAAGCAGAAGATGCCCGAGTTCCGACTCCTTGCCAATGGGCACACCAAGTGGCTAAAGAAGAGGAAGGTCAAGGCCTTCTACTCAGACGTCATCGCTGAGGACCTCCGCAGCGGCGTCCAGGTCCTCATGCAGGTATGGTGGGTTTGGGGGCTTCCCGATGGGCCTTGTGACCTGGTATGATGCAAAACCTCCTGAGGGTCTAATTTCAGCTCCATTCTCATGCCCAGGACCTGGGCAGTGAGGTGGAAAATTGTGGAACCTTGGTCAGTTCCTGTTTTTTAAAAATTTTTTCAGATACAATTTACATACAATGAAGTAAAAAAACCATTAAGTGTGTAGTGTGATAGACATTTGCATATAGGTAGTTTTCTCATGTGTAAAATGGAGTACATGTATAAAATAACCTGAGTCAATACATGAAAATCTTTGTCAATAGTTTTAGCAACTTCTTAAAATTAAAAAAAATGTCATGTGGTCTCTTTTAGGGGTTTTGAAAATATTTTGGAAGTAAAGAGAAGTGATAGTGTTGTGAATATACTAAGCATTGTGCATTTATTAAAGGACCTTGCAATGTACACTTGTTTTTCAAAATTTTTATATTTTAAAATGGTTCATTGTGTTAATTGTGACTTATACCTCAACAATTTTAAATATCTTAAAACATTAAGAAAAGAGAAATAGCTAGGTAGGGTGGTGCATACCTGTAATCTTAGCCCTCGGAAGGCTGATGCAAGAGCATCGCTTTGTGTTCAAGGTCAGCCTGGGCTACAAAGTGAGTTCAAGGCCAGCCTGAACTGCAGAGTTGTCTCAAAAAGTAAAAAAAAGGAAAAGGAAAAGAAAAGAAGAAAAGTAAAGAGAAATATAAAAGGTATATGAACTAGATGACCCAGGTACACACTAAGTTTGACATCCAATTCAGGTCTCATGTTGTAAGAAATTATTTGTGAGAGAAGCAGCAGCTGAGATGACCCTGAACTGATGGGACAGTCCAGTCCTGGGCGCAGCTGAGAGAAGCCACAGGGGTCACCTTGGCTGCAGTTTCACCTACTCACAAGGTCCAGGCAGACAAGGCCTGGAGGGAGACTAATTTCCTGAGTCTCTAGCATGGATGGAGGAGGATAGGGCTCAGGGTAGGGCCTCAGGCCTGATGCCAGCCCCATCACTCTGACCCTCCTCCTCCTCCCTCAATCCTAAAGGCTGCAGGTCTGGGGCGAATGAAGCCCAACATTCTGGTGCTGGGATTCAAGAAGAACTGGCAGTCTGCTCACCCCACCACAGTGGAAGACTACATCGGCATCCTTCAGTGAGCGAGGGCCGGGTGGGCAGCCTGGGCTTGGGGGCTTCAGGTCATTGGAATTTCCTGGGCTGGGGAGGAGGAGTGAGAGCAGTGCAGGCTATAAACTGATTCCATTTGTCCAAGGCTGAGGAAGAAATAGGCAGAGGGGGTCCCTTCCCTGATGCATGGCCCACGGGCAGTAAGGTGGGCTGGGATCAGGCAGGTAACGCAAAGGGTGGGTGGCTCAGGGGTGGGCAATGTGGAAGCAGCCTTGGGAATGGGAGCAAACTGGCTGTAGCTGACAGTGCCTTGCAGAAATGTGGGCCTGGTGTACATTATAATTTTCAGAGTAGTTAAAAATGTAGGTTTTTAGGTGAAGATGTTATGCCCACAAGTAGCCAGTTTAAGGTTTCCCAGTGGTGTCACTGAGCAGACACGTGAAGCCAGGCTGCAAGGACTGAGCTCCGGAGATTTCAGAGTTGGCTTCAGGCCCAGCTTCCTTCAGCTCTTTGCTATGCACAGTCCAGAGAAGGCCTACTCATGTCGCTTTTCTGCACTGACGTTGCACAGAGGCTGTGTGCAGCAGCTCTCAGTCACTCGAGGCTGACTGTGGAGGTCCTTGGCTGGTCCTGATCTGCTGCTAACCAGCTGTGTGACTCAGCGCCACCACCCCAGCTGCCTCAAGTGAACTTACACTAGGAGGTGGTGAGAAACGCAGCTTCCAGTTCTGGCATTCCAAGACAGTACAGAGATAGAGTTAGTGGGTCAGGAAAGACAGAGCTTAGCTTACTGGGCTCTCAGCTGCTGTGCCAATCAGGTGTCAGTACACTTTTGGGGCAGAACTCTACTAGCTACGTCTTAGAACTGGCCTATTGCATAAGTGAGACCATTCCCTTGTGCACCTGCTTGTGTTAGCTCATGCTAGCCTTGTACTCACTGTGATCTTTCTGTATCAGTCTCCTGAGTGCTGAGATTACAGGGTGAGCCACCACACCCAGTTTAAGGGTTAGGATAGGGGCTGGGGATTTAGCTCAGCAGCATAAGCACCTGCCTTGCAAGTGTGTGGTCATGAGTTTGATCCCTGGTACCGATAAAAACAAAAAAGACCAAAAAAAAAAAAGGGTTAGGATGTGCCTGCGTGCACACTTGCCCTTTGATTTACAGTCTCATGCATAGCCCTAATCCAGCTGGTCACTTCCTTGGTTGTATGATCATGGGTGTTACTTCCTGAAACACATCATTCATAACTGTAAAGTAAAGATAATAATGACCTTCCCAACCTCTGAAGGCAAGGCTGTGAGGACTGTCTAAATGTATCAGGCGACAGGGCATGACTTGACACCAGGCCTGATTTGGTTCTCCCCTGCAGGGCACTGGCAACCCTCCCATTCTGAGGCCCAGAAGGGAGAAAGAGTGTGGTTAAGAGTCAGGGCCTCTCCTGGGGGCCAGGTTACCTCCCTAGGGGACTCTGGGCTTTGAGGAGCCTGACCTCAAAGCCTGTATTAGACAGCTTTTTATTGATGTGGCCAACTGAGAAAAACAGCTCAAAGTAACAAAGTATCTTTTGGCTCACGGTTTTACAACTTTTTTGGCTGATTCCCTTGCTATGGGTCTCAGGCGAGACAGAATATCATAGCTAAAGAGTGTTGTGGGACAGAGCCCCTCACCTCCTGGCCACCAGGAAGCAGAGAAGAAAAGAATCGGCTGGGGAAACGATATGATTCTCAAAGTCACGCCCATCTGACCTGCCCAACTAGGTCAACTAGGTTTCACTTCCTCTGCGTCCATTACCTTTCAATAATCCAGTTATGAACTTGTCATTGGATCAACCCGGTGATGAAGTCAAAGCCTTCATGATCCAATCACCTTCCAGAAGTCCTGTCTCTGAACAATGAGACTTTGGGGTGATGTTTTGGATCCAAACCATAACGCCACCTCCTCTTTCCAGTGATGCCTTTGACTTCAACTACGGCTTGTGTATCATGAGGATGCGAGAGGGGCTCAATGTCTCTAAAGCGATGCAGGCACACAGTAAGTACAGGGCACATCCTGTCTAAAACCGGAACAGGAGCCCCGAAAATCCTAGAACCCCAATTTTTAAAAGAGGTAGATGGAAGAGAAGGAGACAATAGTAAGGAATAAAAGAGCACAGAGTCAGCCTTTGATGGTCCTTAGAGCCCATCAGATTTCTAAGTGGAGGAACTAAGGCCCCAAAAGTGGAACCAATGGTAAGAGGTTAAGAACGTGCTTCCACCCCAGGCAGAAGGAGACCTGGAACCCTTACTCCCAAGTCCCAGTCAGTGCTTTTATAGCCAAGTGGGATAAAAAGGATCTAATAGAGAAAGAAAGGGAAAAAAAAGCAGAGGGGCTTGCCCACATAACGATGCTGGACCAGGAAGATGGTCATCTAATCATCATGGAAACTGCAAGTTTTGGTCTTGAGGGCCATCTTTGTGGCATTCTCAGGGACTGGAATGTTTCACATGTGGAAGTTGTATATGGTTATACAAGCCCTGCGCTCATAGGAAGCAGATGTGTAAAAGCCATGAAATGTATGAAGACAAAAGGGGGCGGAGCTAAGGAGACTGGGACTCTGTCTCCTGCAGGGAGGGGCTGTGTCATCAAGGGTGGAGGCTGTGCCTGGCCTGTGGCAGTGGCCAGTGTATATTTATGAAATCAATATTTACACAGTAATTAACCATGCTGCTTTAGGCACAAGGAGCACAGAAGGGCTAAACAATGCCCCTGGGGTCAGACATTCCAGGGAGCAAAGCAGATGCAAACCAGTGGACACAAGTCAGCTCACACACAGTGCTTTTCCGAGGAGATGCAGATGCAGAGTGAAGTGCTCAGGGAGGGGTCTTTCTGAGGACCAGGCCTCTTGCCAAGAGGGTGGGACTGGAGAGAGATTGTTCTCAGCTCAGAGACCTCTGGCACCATGATCCAGAGGCAGGGCTAAGTGTGGCCTTATGGAGAGACTGGAGGAGCCAGGGAAGAAGGGACCAAGGGAGGGGTGGAGATTTTCTTCCTGGTGTTAGGGAGCCCTGCAGATGAAGAACCCAAAAGTGTCCCAGGCAATGGGCACTTGCAAACCTAGCTGCACCCCCTCTTTTGCAGTTAATCCTGTGTTTGACCCAGCGGAGGATGGCAAGGGAGCCAGTGCCAACGGGGCCAGGCCATCCGTGACTGGCACATGTCAGTCTCCTCCCCATGAGAGGCTCAGGGTGTTTCTGTCCGGTGGGGATGCGAGTGGCAGGCCCCATGGAGACCTAGTCAAGGGCATATGGTTTTCCTGGTGACCAGTGGATAACTGGGAGAGGGCTTGGCCCTGCTAAAGACTTCCAACCCTGGTAGGAATTAGGGGCTCTGGGGAGTCCATTGCCAGCCAGGTCATCATTGGTCATGTTCAAATGTCGTGAACAGAGGGGTGGGATGATGTTCTTTGTCCTCACATTCCCTGAAGTATCTGTGAGTGGCACAGGGGGATATTCCAGAGATGGAAGAGACTGCTTCCTGCCAATGGTCTATCTCAGAGGGCACTGGGTTTATCCTTACCTCCTGCCCTGCTGTGCCCACCAGAATCCAGGGAGAGAGAAGCTGGGAACAAGGGAGGAACATCTGGCAGCTCTGTGTGTTCAGGGTCCCTATTCCTGATCACTTGCCTGAGTATCTGAGTCTTGGCACCAGAAAGGGCATTAGCCACGCTCTGGGCACTTCTGGCTGCTGCATGTCCACCTGACATGATGCATATCAAGCTCACCTCCCAGGGCAGTGGCTGTTTTGAGGCAGGTTGGGGACTCAGCGCATTGGCTGGGCTCTGACTTCCCCACCCCTCTGACAGTGGACCCTGAGGCTCTGGTGCAGGAGGAGCAGACCAGCACCATCTTCCAGTCAGAGCAGGGCAAGAAGACCATTGACATCTACTGGCTCTTTGATGATGGAGGTCAGCACCCCACCCCAGACCTGGGCTCCCTGCCCCTCTGTGTCACTGTGTCCTTGTCCTGCCCTTCACAGCCTGCTCTCATCCAGGCCACTAGTGAGCAGAGCAGAGCTCATAACCCAGCAAAGGAGATGGGACCCCAATCCCCCCATACTGAGGTCAAGGGAGCCTGGCTGGACTCCTCTCTCTGGTCTAATTTTTCGGCTGTAAAATAGGGTTCTTTGAGGGGATGCTGAGGCCAACATAAATAGAACCTTCTGGCTAGATGGTCCTTAAGGGTTGAGGCTGCATGACACAAATGCAGGGAACAGGCCAGCACAAGGGAAGCAGTGGCATGTGCCTCTCTCTACAGGAACACGCCCTCTCCTTGTTTTCTTAAAATATGGCTCTCAACTTGCTTGTTCCTACCGTCAGTTGAATCCTAGATAGAAAACACACTTAAGATTGACCCTCTGTATCCATAGGTTCTACTTTTGTGGTTTTAATTCATCAGAGAAAAAATGATCTGCACTGAGCACCTGTACATTTTTCTGATCATTATTCCCTGCACAGTAAAGCATAGCAACTATTCATAACATTTACAGTGCAGTATTATAACAGATGATCGAGGGTAGGCATGAGGATATCATAGTTCTGTGCATGTACCAGACCATTTTATATGAGGGACTTGGGCACCTGTGGATTTTGGCATCCATGGGGCAGGAGCCCTGGATCCTGTTCCTGCAGCTAAGAGGCTGAGCACTTACTACACATATGTCTCACACTGAATGCTCTGTGCAGGTTTTCCTAGTGTAGTCTCCTTTGCAAATGAGGAAACTGAGGCAGAGAGTATTATGCACTGATACATAGTGGCTGGTCCTTGGGTGCACATGGAGTGATGACAGGGAGAATGAGGGATCTCACCTCTTGTTCAAATATTCAGTTATCAGCAAAGGCCAGCAACCCAGATATCCTTGTGCAGTTCCCCAGTTATCCAGTGCCAGCTTGTTTATTTAAAACACTGTGCTGGACAAGTAAACCCTGACCTACCAAGCACCTTGAGCGACTGAGGTTCAATCGGGTGAGCTCTGGGAAACTGAGGTGCAGAGAGGGGTAGGGGTTTGTTGTGGTCATGCAGAGTGGAAACCAACAGAGGGATCTGTCTTAAGCATACTTTCTTCTTGGCTCCTGGGGACCCTCCTTGGCAGGTCTTACCCTCCTCATCCCCTACCTACTCCACCGCAAAAAGAGATGGGCCAAATGCAAAATCCGCGTGTTCATCGGGGGCCAGATCAACAGACTGGACCAGGAGAGAAAGGCGTAAGTGAGACGGCAGCACGGGGTCACAGGGCTGTGCCATCTGGGTTCCCCCAAAACTGCCTGCTACTCTCTCCCCCATCCTCACCACCACCCTCGGGTGACCTGGGCTGTCTCCAAGTCCAGGCTAGTTCTCTCCCGGTCACAGCCTGGGGCCTGGGGCCTGGGGCTCTGGGCAGGAGCAGGTTTCTCTCCCTGTCAGAACTGTCCTGGATTCCTGTCTCCTCTTCAGTAAGATGCAGATGCCTTTGCCATAATAGAGAGAGGGTTAAGTTTTATAGCCACAAAGTCCCTCAAGGAGAAATCTTGAGGACAGAGAAGCTCCTCTTGTTGAGAAGTGAAGGGGGAGTTAGAGTCTTTTGGGGCAATGGCCAAAGTGTGGGACGCGGGTGCTGCGGAGACCGGAGGCACCTTGAGGGGCCAGGAGTGGGGCAGCAAATCTCACCAACTTGGAGGGAAGTGATGTCACTTCCTAACTGGGCAAGAGAAGTTGTTCTTGGCTTAGTGTTGGCTGGTGCTTGCCCTCACTGACTAACTAAGCTCTGTGTCTACGTAAAAGGAGCAGGCCTGGGTTAATGGCTTCCCAGGTAATGGCACTGGCCAGATTTAATGACACCAGTTCACTGCCATGGGTTTTAATTTATACCTTTCTGTCAAGAGATGCCCTTTTCTGTTTTGAATTGTAATATAAATTTCCTTTTGAAATACTGTGTATTAGTTTTCCATTACTACAATGGAAATATCTGAGACAGTATGCTTAACACTGAAAAAAGGCTTATTTTGGCTTAGGGTTTTGAAGGTGCAAGGTCTAGGGCTACATCAGCTGATGATATTTTTTGCTGGCAGAATCCTGAGTCCTTACAGGGACACAGGGAGTACACGTGTCTGTGTCTGTCTGCTCTCTCTTCCTATGTTTTTCGTTTTTAATTTTTTTTTGCAGTCTGAGGTTGAAACTCAGGCCCATGATCATGCTAAGCAAGTGCTCCACCACGCAGTTACAGTCCAAACTCTGTTTTTGTTCTTGAAACAGGGTCTTGTTAAATTCCACAGACTGATTCTGAACTCTCCATCCCCCTCCCTTGGACTCCCAGGTAACTGGGATTACAGGCATGTGCCATCACGCTCAGCTCACAGAGCCCCCAGGATGCAACATGGGGCTCCACCCCAAAGGCCTTCTCCAATCCTCATCTCCTCCTGATGGCCCTGCCTCTAATTGCCACAGTCAGATTCTGTTTCTACCCTCTTAATACCTACACCGGGGCTTAAATCACCATGAGTTTGGGGGGCAAACCATATTCAAATCATAGCACTAAGCGAGTACTTGAGCTGATTTAAATAGACAAGGAAGTAAACAGTGAGGCAGGTGGCATGCAGGTGCAGAGTTGGCAGAAGCCTGGCAACGGCTGCTAATTTAGACAAAGCTCGTCAGGGTACGGTCGTGGGAGCGCAGCCTGCTTGCACAGGTGGGGAAGTTTTCCCACAGCCTACACCATCTTCCTCCTATTCCAGGGTTACATCTCAGCTCTGTGCCTTTGGTCAGACCTGTGTGAGCTCAGGGCAACCTGGCAGTCTGTTCCTTTGTCCTCCCCATACTGAGAGCTTCATCACTAGCAGGCCCCTCATTCACAAGGTCCAGAGCAACTCTTGGGGCACCAGTGGCAGCCTCTGTGACCCTTCAAAAGTAACTAGGTCAGGAGTAACTAGGTTGTGCTATGGTCTCAGCTGCCTGTCTCAGTTCTGGATGGCATCTGGGTTCCCTGAGCTTGACGTACCTCAAGGCTGTGACACTGCTGGTTGACAGCATGTTCTTTGTGTAGAAGTTACCGAAACTCCTCAGCCGCTGGACACCTCATGATGGGCCTCATGATCTGCTCGCTCCATGATCCTGGGTCACCAGTACATACTAGGACGAGTCTGCACATAGCTCCACCTGTGACATTCCACTCTCTAAGCCATGGCTTGACCGTTGGACCCTGGCCTGATGCTTCAGGCTCGTCTTCTCCCAGCATACCCCGTGCATCCCAGCCAGCATTCTAGCATCACAGCTTTCCCTGTCCCCTGGGCCTTTGCTCATTTGGATTTCTGCCTACCAGTGAGTCTGGTGGTCCTTAACCAGGAGGCACATCAGTGTCATGTAGGGTGTTACCAAAGCCATGTCCTGCCCAGAGATCTGACTCAGTGAATAGGAGGGGCCCAGCAGGTGCATTATTCTGCAGCCCCCTTGGGTGATTTTAATATGGGCACTCCCTGTCCCACCCCCTCAGGCCTGTAACAGTCTTACCCACTGTGTGCCATCCAGCCACATGGCCACTTCCTCTGAAGTCTTCTCTGACTGTCACAAAGCACCTGCTCCCCTGTGAGGTGTACAGCCAGTACCATCTGGCTTGCTGTTCCTACTGAGTCCTTGTGCGTTATCTTTACTTCCTCAGCCACTCTTTAATTTCTCTTTTTCAATGTACCCACCCCTCAGACCTTTGCTACTCAAAGTTTAGTCCATGCTCCAGCAGCACTGCATCCTGGAGACTGGCCCCACCCAGGCCAGCTAACTCAGAATCTGCACTGTTGATGCGTTAGGACTTGGGATACACTAGTACAGAGATGATCCCCAGATATTTGGGAAATTCTGGTCAAATATTTTTCCATGTGACTTGTGATCATGTGATCTACTTGATTCGTATTCCTTATCATGTTCCCCTACCCCTCTGTTAGAAGGCCAGCTCTGTTTTGTCCACTGCTATATACTAAGAAGGTACTTAATTAAACTAAGGGACGAACATTTTTTAAAAATACCTGTCTTCCAGGATAATTTCTCTGTTGAGTAAGTTCCGACTGGGATTCCATGAAGTTCACATCCTTCCTGACATCAATCAGAAGCCAAGTGCTGAGCAGTGAGTTCTCCGTGTGGGGTTCCAGGCCAGAGGGCCACCCGCGTGCCCTGTGGACCTTTCTGCTTGTGGCTGCCCCGGTTCCTTTTCTGCTCCTTGCACAGGCAGACTTGCTGTGGCTCCAGGCCTTGCACGCTCAATTGTTTGTTCCAACCCCCTCTGCTCTATGCAGAGCTGGCATCAGAAAGACTTCAGGTCTCAGAGAGCCCTTCCCACCCTTTCTGATCAACTATTCTGTTTACACCTTCATAAAGTTCCCACTTTACCTGTTTGCTTATCTCCCAGCTGAGCATCAGCTCTGTGACACTGGGGACACAGCCTTCTTGCATGCATGGCTGTTGTGTGGCACAAGACCTGGCACACATGGTGCTTGGTGACACCTGCTGAATGGAGAGGGTTGGGCCAGAGTCCAGGTCAGTTGCTGTGAATGGCTGTGGAGTTTGGTTGTGTGCCAGATGTAAACGGCAGTGCTGAATTCCACATGGAAGCCACTTGGATACAAACAACTGTGTCAGATAGGTTTTAACGCAAAGTCTGTCCCTGTGGCCCCACCTCCAGCTCCTTCCAGGGATGTGGTTCCAGGGATGTAGTTCCCCTGGAGATGGGGCCACTCAGCTGGCCTCACCTCCTCTTTTGTCCCCAGCACTAAGCGGTTTGAGAATATGATTGCGCCCTTCCGCCTAAATGATGGCTTCAAGGATGAGGCCACAGTTGCAGAGATGAGGCGGGACTGTCCCTGGAAGATCTCAGATGAAGAGATCAACAAGAACAAAGTCAAGGTACAGGCTTTGCAGGGCTGGGATTGGAGGTCAATGCATCTCCGGGGTCGTGGCCACTTGTTCCCCGTGCCCTGAGTTTCCTGAGTCTATCTCCTTTTGAGTCCTGCTTTCCCTTCCCCGTCTCTGAGTACCCTCATGCCACAATTGCTGGGCTGACAGGTAACCACTGGTGGCACTCAATGCCATCCTTGGTGTAGGAGCCTGGTCATCCTCTCCCTTTACGTAGCCTGGCAGTGAGCGTGGACCACTTGGAGTCCACGCTCTCCTCCTCCATTTCCCTTTGCCTTGAAAGAGGGCTCTGTGACACAGTATGACCCTGGACATGTAAATTTGTCCTGTAGGTCAACAAAGCTGCCTGGTTTCAGCCCAGTGCCCTGGCTGCTCCTTTCTTAGACAGGTCAGGATTCTGAAAAGAGCCTGGTGCATGCATGGCATAAACCCTTACAGCGGCCACTATGGCTGTTTTCAAGGTAGAGCGCAGAGCTAGGAGGGCAGGGGTCAGGGCCCAGATCTCGGTTCTGCTCTGTGTTCCAGGTGGGTTTTCAATGGAGACAGTTTTGCCCTCCCCGGGGAGATTTATTAACCTTGAAGATATTTTTGGGTGTCACAACTAGGGAACATGAGTTGCTCCTGTCACATAGAAAGTAGCCACCAGGGATGCTGCTGAACATCCTGCCTTGCACAACTTCCTCAACAAATAGCTGTTCCCACAAGGTATTCCCAGAGAGGGTGTTTTTTCATTCCCAGAAAGTGTGCTCTCATTGCTCTCAGATCCTGGTGACAACCATTTCTGAACAGCTCTGGGAGACAGGCCTTAGGCTTAAGTATCTCCCTCCAACAGAGCCTCTTACAAGCTTTGGAGAACACTCTGATCTATCAGCCAGGAGACCCTGTCTCAAGGGCTCACAGGGCCAGCTGGCTCTTTGGAAAATGCTGAGTAAGAGTAGTGTCCAAAGGACGTTCTCTGACAGTCTTTTCCAGAGAGGATGGAGCTGTCTCTGTGCTGAGTTCTTTATCTTTTAAACAGAGCATTTTTCGTGTAACCAGGTCCCTGGCTGGTGCTCTGACTTCCACGTCTCCTTTGGTCTCCCCCCATGCCTTTGGGGAGGGCTTTGTCATACCCGTTTGCAGAGGCAGATAGTGAGGCTCAGGTGGTAACATGACTTGCTCAGTCAGGCTGTCGCTGCTATGACCTAGCAGGGCTGAGATTTGAAGGGCTCCCTCTCCCCACTTGGGAAAACCAAGGAAGGCTTCCCAAAGGAGGTAAACTTGGTGCTTGGTTACCATGAGGTCCCCTTCCTCCCTGGAGGCAAGAGAGTCTATAATTCCCTAGGAGGAGTAATTCCCGGCTCAAGTTGGATGTGGCAGGGGTCCACTGCTAGCAAGGAAGTGGGAAGTGACCTGTGGGCTTCCCTCGCCCAGTCCCTTCGGCAGGTGAGACTGAATGAGATTCTGCTGGATTATTCCCCAGATGCTGCCCTGGTCGTCATGTAAGTAGCCCCTGACTGCGGGGAGGGCAAGCATGGCAGGTGGGAAAGGGGCTCGGGAAGCAGGACTGGCTGCAGAAGAGGTCCACAGCCCCCTGCATACACAGCCTGGCTGGGTTCTCCACGTGTGGCCTGGCCTGTGTCTCCCAGTAGCCCTCACCTGAGCACCACGTGGCAGAAGTCTAGGCTGTCACCTGTCTCAGCCACAGCTAACTTCTTTTCGCTGCTGGTTTTTCCTTGTTTTCTACCTTTACTTGCCAAACTTGGGTTGGCAGAGGAGGGACCCAGCTCAACCCAGAAGGAAATGCATGCCTGGTTGTTTGGGAATTGCTCAGTCCTCTTTGGCCATCAGCCACCCTGACTGATATTGGTGTCAAGTCTGGACAACAGGAACAGAGGCTTCACTCAGCCCCCCTATTCTATGGGACCCATGCCCAGTTCCAAGCTGCCCCTGGCAGGTGTTGGCAGGGCTGAGGAGGTGGAAGGTGGCAGCAGCACAGAGGGGTCTCTGTGTGGCTCTGTGCTCCCTGAGGCAGTCGGAAGTGCGTGGTCAGCTAAGCCTCCAAGTCTACAGCTCAGAGGGTGAGGAGTCTTTACTGAGGCAAATTATTGCCCTTCCTGTATTTCCCGGGGGCCCAGGACCTGGGTATTCTGAAGGACAGCCAGGCAGCCTGCTGAACCTGTTTGTTAGACCTCATCTCCAGGGCCACCTGTACCATTGCAGGGCCTGTACAACATGAAACATGTGGCCCTGTGATAGACAATCGGTAAGAATGTTGAGATGTGGTCCTCCGTTAAAACAAGGCCACCTCCACCCATTCTCACTTGGACGTGTGGTGGTGGTAAAGGAGGAGCAGCAGAACACAGACGGACCACTGTCATCATAGGTGACATGAGTATGCAAGTTCAAGGTCGTGATTTTCCATGCTCACATGCTTGAGTGTTTCTATAAATTTTCAAAGTGCACTCTGCTGTGTAAGAAACCACACATGTGATACTGGGAGCAATAAGGCATACACGAAGACTGCTGTTCTCTGGAGAGAAGGTGTTGAATTTAATACACACTGAACTTGGGATGTGTGCTCATAAGAAGGGTCCTGTGTGCTGCGACAAGACCCATGCCCAGCTATGTCACTATCTAACCTGCTCCACAGAGGCCAGAGGACACTGGTTTTATATCAAGAGGCCTGTGAGCAGGGAGCCCCTTCAGAAGACAGCTGGAACCTTCTCCTGCCACCTCAGTTGCACAACTCCTGAGGCAGGTGGAAGTACCCCACAGTACTGGCAAGACCTTCTTTCAAGAGAGTGAAAGAAGAATTGTTCCTTTAGGCAGCGAAGTGCCCCTTTAAGGAGATCAAAATGGTATGGGTTCAAAGCAAAGATGCTCAGTGGCTTTTAGCAGACACATAGGAAAGTGACAGATGACTGACCAGAGGGCATTCACCCCACTAGGCACTGGTGACACGCAGGAACTAGGCAGCCAGCCTGAACCTGACCGAGGAGGCTTCTGTCCTGTCAGTCTAATGTTCGAGACCCACAAGTGTTCAAAGGCTACTAGCTCCACATTAACCAGATAGCAGTAGCATCTTTTCCCACCAAGTAGCAGTTTGGCCACCAGCAGAATGGGTCAAGCGATTAGAAACATGCTTGGAAATGTTGGGTAAGGTAGCACCTGCCTGAGATCCCAGCTGCTCAAAAGACTGAGGCAGGAGGGTTGCTTAAGGCCAGAAATTCAGTGTGGGCAATATAGCGGGACCCCAATGGGAAGGAAGAAAGGGAGAGGGAGAGAGAAGGAACTGTATATTCCCATGGATATTTAGTCATGGTTTAGGAATTGTCAGTCCATTCAGGCTGCTGAAACAAAATGCCATACTCTGTGTGGGGCAGGATGGTGGTAAAAACAATGGAAATGTATTTCTCATAGTTCTTGAGACTGGGAAATCCAGTATCAAAACACCAACTTATTCAGTGTCTGATGAGGGCTAGCTAGCTCTCTGGGTCATAGATGGCACCTTCCTGCTGTGTCCTCACATTGTGGAGGGAGCCAGGGAGCTCTCTGGGACCTTCTGTATTCATGTGGGCTCCGTCCTCATGACCTAATCACTTCCCAAAGGCCCCAGCTCCTAAAATGTAATGTCCAACACCATCACATTGGGGTACAGATTTCAGCTGCGAGTCTGGGGAACATGCCATATTCAGAGCACAGCAAAACAGTTATGCCTGACTTTGGTTCCTCCCAGTCAAACAGTAGGTTGCATGGAACATTTACAATTCCTGTTATCCTGGGTAGTACGTCTCTTCAGCAGAGGAGTGGGGGAGCACAGAAAGCTTACCACAGGCAGTTGCCTGTCTTTTCCTGGGACTCTCTGTCACTGGATCCCAGATGTCACCAGCCCCTGCACGTGCTTTTCCTTAGTGAGAGCTAGCTTTACGTATCCCTGGACAGCAACATCCTTTACAGTGCAGTCAGCTGAGCTGAACTTGCTTTGCTTTCCTGTGTCACTTACAGCACTGAAAAAAATGTCAAAGTGGTGATGACAATGCATTAAGTCAAGGGTGGGCCCTTCTGAGCACCCCATGGGGCTGTGTAGCTTGCACCCCTGTGAGGCTGACTTTGCTGCAACAGTGCTTCCCAGGGTGTCTGGGGAGATCATTTTGTTCTGCAGTGAAAGTGTTCCCTGTTTGCTTGATTTGAAAATCATGCTAAGAAAAGGGCTGGGTTTAGCTCCCTGCTTCTGGCCAGCACCCAGCAGGGAATGTTCTAGGGTAAGGTAGGTCGCAGGTACAAATGGGGTCAGAACTCAAGACAGTGGCTTCATCCTCTCTGGAGGATGCTGAGAGGTGACCCTTGCTGGCTCCTCTCCCCTCTACCCCAGGACTTCATAGGTAACCATGTGTTCAGTCACTGTGGAGAAGATGCCTGCACACCCTCACCCTACCCCACCCCACCTCACCCCACCCTACCCCACCCCACCCCACTCCACCCCACTCTGGCAGCCACAGCTGTTTCCCAAATGGGCCCTGACTCTAGAGCCAACTCCATGGGGAGATCAGAGCAGCTGCATTGCATGTGTTGCTAATCTCCATGCTAGCAACGCACCTGGTGTCTCTAAAGGTGTCGTCAGGGGTCAGTTTCATCAGAACCACCATGTGGAAAACACACATTCCTTATCCCCTTCCATACCAGAGGCCCAGTGGAGCACAGAATCCTGCATTCCCTGAAGTCCTGAGAACAAAAAGCATCTCCCAGCCTGTCTACCATTTTTGGAGAGCACGCTGGGATAGTAGTAGTCAGGAGTTTACTCGATTAACAATTAACATCTTTTCCCCCAAGAACCTTTGTTTGAGCTCAGTTATACCAGGACAGCTGGTAAACCAGCCTGGTAATCAGCTCAAAAGCCTCTGACTACCTATCCTGTTAGAATCAGACAGCTCTTTTGTCTATAATAACTCCTTCTCAAAGCCCAGTAGTAATGACTAAAAAGTAATCATCAATTTTACATTTTATTAATTTGGCCTTATTGATTTTCAAAACTTTATCTGACTCATTCTTTGCAGTCCCTTGGTAGGGATGAAGAAACCACCTTAAGAGTCCAGCTGCTGGCCCAGGACCTCACAGATGGACCTGGGTTGGACTGGGTTCTGTTGCATGGTTCTCACCCTGAATCAAGGTTAGAACCATGGCTGCCTCGCTTCATTCCCGGGAGAAATTCTGAAGAAGTCCCTTTGTTCTAGGGTGGCTTTATTTCTAAGGCTTAATAGCTGAAGGCAGGCATGTCCTGTGCAAGGGAACGCCACGTGTCATTGATTAGAACTGGGGCCAGTTAAAGGCAGCTGTGCTTTGGACAGGTGGACAAGTTCCCTTGAGGGAGGAGAAACCACATGGGGAAGCTTGTAAGAGACCGCAGGCATGAGGGCGTGCCCTGCCCCGGCCCAATCACACAGTCACCTGTTTCCTGGTCACCTTTGAAGTTTATGAATTCAGTCCCTGAGTGTAATATAGTATTTCCCAAACCGCAGCATTTTCAGCCTCTGACATATCTGTTACATCTGGCAAGTTTGGGCTTATCATTCTACTGTCTCCTTTTCCTGGGAAGTTACTAAACCCAATTGAACTAAGATAACACTAGTTTATGGAAAGGCCTTGTCCCCACCTGGCTCTCCTAATCTTTGGGATTTTGCTTTTGAAAGGAAGTCAGTGACTGTCCCAAGTGAAGCTTAGTGATGGCACTTTAAGTATGAGGCAGCTGTTTGGGGTCCCAACTGCCCTCTCCAGCCAGTGGGATTATGGTGAGCAGAGGCAGCTAGAGGATAGCTCTGAAGACCTTTGCGGTAGCCACCCTGCCCCACCCATGTGATCATCTCCTGCTGGTGGATACTAAGCCAGGGCAATACTGCTACTTCCTACACCCACCGTGCAGCTGTGCTGTGTGCACTTTGGCATCTTCAGAGCCCACAAATATCCCAGGTGGTAGTATCTGGGTTCTCATTTTAGAGGAGAGAAACTGAGGCTCGGGGGAACTCTGGAACTTTGTGAAAGCCACAACACAGGCAGTTTCTCCTGAGCCAGAGCCTGAACTCTGGACCCCAGTGCAGCTCTGTATCCGCTGCCTCCTTGACATACTTTGGTGCTGCAGACCTGGCCGTCCCTGAGGCTGCGTGGAGAGCTGGGTGAAATAACGGCTGTGAATGTGCTTTAGAGAAGGCAGGCAGAACAGCAAGGGTGTCCCAGGTAAACTAGTGCTGTCCGGACTTCACACAGGGCCAACTGGGGCTGCAAGACGCTGCCTCCTTCAGCACCAAGAGCCAGGCAGCTGTGGCTATCCTGATGCATTTTTGGAATTTTCAAGATGTTAAGAAAGTCACTTCCTGAAATAGCTGAGAAAACAGACTAAGCAGCATTTACAGAGCATCTTGTTATTTGCACAATGCTGTGGGATTAGGATAAGGGGCCTCCAGAGGCCACAGTGGAGTCTGCTCCCCGAGCTGGTGCCCAGTAGGGGAAAGACAAAGATGTCTCTGCTGAGTCGTCACATTGTTGTGGCCACAGGGAGGACTGTGGCTGGAGAAGCAGTCTGGTGGGCTGCGAGAGGCTGATGGGTTGGGATCTCCCACTAAACAAATACATCCTGAGTCCAAGTGTGTCACAGCGTGTGCTCGTGAGGGAACACGCATTCCCATAGGAAGGAGTGAATAAATATCTCTAAGGACATTTCTAAGGATCCAAATGGCTACAGGAACAGTAAATCAGGGTGCTAGGATGAAGAGACATAAGTGGCCTCCTTTGGAAAAAGCAGTCAAAGGAGATGCACTTAAGCAGAGACCAGTGCTTTAAAGGAGGAAGCTAGATGGAGAGCTGGGGCCATTGCCTTCTAGGTGACACAGGAGCAAGCTTGGTATTTATTTTAGGAAGGGAAAGAAAGCCACTGTGGCTGTAGGACTGTGAGCAAGGCTGAGGGCAGGAGGAAGTGAGACTGTGGGCAATGGTGGGGTCTAAATCATGGGGATATGCTGGCCATGCTTTTGTTTAGAAATGCGTCATGGCTGAAGGTGCATTCTGGGTAATGCTCTCAAAGAGAACAGGGAGGTCTTTCTTAGGATGGGTGAAATGGAAGGGGCTCTGAAGGTGGCAATAAATGGACTTGCTCTTCAGAAAAAAAGCATGGGCTGGGCTGCATGAGGAGACCCCAGGTAATTCCTCTCTGCCCCTCCCTGCCTTGCAGCACCTTGCCCATAGGGAGAAAGGGGAAGTGCCCCAGCTCCCTGTACATGGCCTGGCTGGAGACCCTGTCCCAGGACCTCAGACCGCCAGTCATCCTGATCCGAGGGAACCAGGAAAACGTGCTCACCTTTTACTGCCAGTAACTCCAGGTGTGGCCATCCTTGCCCAGAGCCAAGGGTGTGTGGCACAAGTTGGAACTCGACTGGTTCCAGTCTTAGGGACAACCTTCACGTTCTTTTGTGCATGAAATTATAGCAGCTGATGATCCAATTGCAAGAAACAGTAGATTTTCAGACTTTGGCTGGACCCCACTTCCACTGGACATGTCCACTGGGCCTTATTTTTATGAGATGGAGAAGGAGCCGATGGAGTTGCATGGAAAGTTATCTGGAAGATCCTGTTTAATTGTTTTCTTTTGATCTTGATGAGTACTAATTAAGATTTCAGTCTCTGATTTGTGAGTAAATTGTGCTTGGTGTCATCTGGCAATTTCTATAGACCTTCCCTGGTCACAGTCCCCGACTTCCCACCCCACACTAAGCCCTCCAGTAAGGAGGACAGGGAGCCCACCTTGGGACCTGCAGGAGCACCAGGGAACACAGATCACCGAGCCAGAACAATATTACATCTCTTCAGCCACCTCAACACTGGTTCTTTGGCATCTCTATTAGACCAAGGACTTTGAAACTTCTTTGGCTGCAACCCAGAGTGAGAAACACCATTTCACACTAAGAACACACACACACATTCACAGAAGTGACTGAACCAAAACTATCAAGCAATATTTCTTACTCTGGGTGACAGTCTCCAGGATTTTCTGTTCTGTTTCCTTTTTTTCTTTTTTTTTTTTTTTAATGTTGGTTATAATCCATTAAAATTATTTTGGTCCCACAAATGAATGGTGAAAAACAGGCTAGACTCTCCTTTGTGTCCTGCATTTGTCAGAAACTGGGCCGGCTGTCCAGGCCACAGCAGGATGTCTCTGCCATTTGCCAGCTCAGTCCACAGGAAAAGGGAACCAACAAGACATCAGCAGGAGAACTGGTGGGAGTTGACGAGAAAGTGTGGGGAGGGGAAACATGTCAGGAACCTAGTGGACGGGTATACTGTACTGTACCAGGTATGCATGGTTAACTCTGCAGGAGTCAAGGGCTGGGTTACACCTTAATGACACGTGAGAAGAATTTGTATTTCTCAGATCAATTGCAGTCTTCACAGGGTTATGGATGGGGGACAAAGATATGGAAAAAGGGAAGGCAAAAGGGAGCGAGACAGTGGCAAGGATGACAGAGGATCAGAAAGGAAGGAATTGCTCCAAGCCCATCCTGGGGCCAGACAAAGGGAACCACAGCAAGAGATGGAAGCATAGGGGGATGTGCATAAGCTGGGGTCCGAGGTCAGGGAGAAGCAGAGCAAGATGGAGGTGGACAAAGGACTCAGGCCTGGCTCAGGGAGGGGTATTGGGTTACCCATATGTTGGTACCCACAAAACTAGAGTGCAAGAGTGGAAGGTATATTGAACAGAAGAGGCTAAATGAAAGGACATTTACTTCTCTAGATGTAACTAAAAGGCATAAATCTGAGTTGTTTAGTGATATGATTGTGCCTTTTAATGCCGCTAGGGTAACCAAAGGAATGGGGCACTTAGGAGGAGTTAAGGCTGCCTTGTTGAGGTTAGAACCAGAAGGACTTTAGCATTTCTCAGGCCCTCCCACTTCAGAGTGTAAAGACCCTGAGCTGCCATGATGTCATAAAGGTCCTATTGTTGCGATGCGTCTGGGCTTGTTGAGCATCACAGAAGACAGGCTGAGTTTACCAGGCACAGCTGCTCTGCTGCCCAGGACCCAGGAAGATGGTGCTGCTGAGCTGTGCAGCTGGACTCTGGGCTCTACTTGCACCTCCAGATCCCGCAAAGCCTTGCCAGGCCCACGTGGCATTAATTTCCTGGGAAATGGGTACTGCCTCTTCAGATCTAGGCAGTGGTGGCGAACCTACGGGACATGTGCTGCAGTGGGCTGTTATCACTGAGACCTCTCAAAGGTTCACTGCCCTACAAAGATTCCCTGGGTCAAGAATAGAGAATGTTTTGTTTCGGGTGTTAAGAAAAACAGTAAATTTTAAACAGTGATAGTAGTTTACAGTGGTCCCAAATGATAAATAAATCAATATAACTTATTTGTTTTGGAACGCGTTGTTCTTCAACTCTGCTGT